TGGTAAATAAAACCTTTGTTAGCTGATAATATATAAGCTTTAGAGTGGTCAAGGTCCCAGGACCATATTTCCTTCCCAACTTTCGTTTGAATCCCAACTATAAGCATCACTTAACTCAAGACGATATCTAATAATTAAACGACCCAAGCACATAATTGAAGTGGAGTAACATGAAAATACTCACAGTTGTATTCAGTCCATCCAATGGTCTGATTTTCAATATCATACACAACTAGCTTATTTGATAGCACCAAATCTGCAAAAAAAAATTGAAATAGTTGAGGATGAAAATTGTTAAAGATTCTACGTTATTAAAGATTTTCATCCAATTTTTTACTCATCGCTATGGCAAATCAAATGGTGACAATATTGGGCTGACAAGTGAGAACCACTGTAGTGAAAATGCTAAAGGTAGGAATGCTTTCAACCCACCTATCCCAAGGCCCCTACTTGAGTTAGAGTCAGGGCCCCCTACTTTAGCGAAAATGCTAAAGGTAGGTATGCTTCAATCAACCTATCCCAAAAGTGAGAATAAAAGAGATGACTAGGGACCAAACATCATGAAGAAGTAATTCTAGAATATACCTCCCAAAAGAATCACATCTTTGCTGTCCTTAGTTTGCAGTCCACCATTTATCCAACCAAAACACCATGCATTGCCCTGCAGAAAGCCATAGAAATGATCTCAAAAGGAAAACTAGTAAAGGAAAATGAAGATCAAAACTAAGATGATGAAAATAAACCTTCAAGCCACTATGATGATCAGTTGCAATGCTTACTCCAATTTATAATCATAATAGTAACATTAGCAGCCGCTTGTTTTAAATGCAATCATTAACATACTTCCAACCAAATAATGTCCAAAAAAGAAGGAACTGACTATTAGAATAATTATTAAAAGAGACTCCTTAGATGAAGTTCACCCAACAGCTCAAAAATGAGGTTGATTGTGAGGTGAGGTCCCAGGAAATCTAATGTTTTAAAGGCTGCTCTAGCTGCAACTCTATACAATTTACAGATGGGGAGAGTTTTTGCTAATAAAGTACTGAGTGTAGATAGTTTTCAGTTTTCACTAATTGCATAAATGCTTATTTAGTATTAAAATTAGGATTGGTAGGGAGTAACAGGTGATGTAGTCAGTGTATTTGTACATGCCCATTGTGGGATCTTTAAACTTACATCAAATCTTGTCTTAGTACAGGGAAAAAAAATCAGCTTCTTAAATGTTCAATACAACCAACAGAAAAACAAAATACTAGCACTTCCCAAATCCAGGTGGATCTAGAAGAGTTCTTGAAATCTTCAATTCCAATACCGTGATTAATGTTTGGCCCAAAAATAATACCATTACTCAAAAAACAACACCTCATTATATATCCATTTGGTAGAAAGATGCAAAAAAAATTATGTACATAAAAAAAAAAAAAAAAAAAAGAGTAAGAAAATTGTAAAAACTCTGAATTCCAGAACTCTCAGAAGTCCAGTTGAATCCATTATGAATACAACCAGAACAAAACAAAACCTCTGTAGGATCATGTAAGCTATATCAGGATAACTGTTTTAGACCAAATTTAGAAAGGCCAAGTTATCTACGTAGCAGTATTATGATTCCTGATGACAAACCCAAAACTTAAAAAAGAGACCTAACAAAGATCTAGAATCAATCTCATTCACCAACATAATGACATCAAAAGTAGATTAAATACTTGGGATAAACCCTGCAGAAAATAAATTAAAAAGAAACATTGTTTAACACCACTATACTTTTAAAGTTGACAACTGCATATGCAATATGGTATGGGTCTATATCAATAATGATTTTAGACATGATAAAAATGTTTTTTTTTTTTATAGCTGGCCAAAGATGAAAATGTGTTAATCGATCAAAATATGAACTAAAAGGAGCAGTACTTACATCAATTGGGAAGAGATAATCATGAGGATGAACTGTCAACGAAACAGAACCTTCAAAGTGAAACCTTACAATTGGAAATCCATCATCAACACTGCAAGAAGACGAGAAAATGTTAGTAAGCAAAGACTAGTATAACTCACAAAAATTTAGTGTACCTTTGGTGTTAAAATGATAACATAATTAATTTCCTTTCCAAATGAATTCATTATAGAATTCCTATACAAACAGGAATTCATCATAAAAGTTATAAAACATGAGAATTTATTTGATGTTTGGAATAATTCATGATATAGGATTCAGTTGAATTCCACAAGATTTTCATGTTGAAAATGGATTCTACATTCATTATTTAAATTTCAATTATAACAAACGCACTCTTTAGAAAACAAAAACCATGTTCATTGCCAAATACATTTTTGACATGGGTGAAGAGTTAAATTATCAAGTTTAACAGAACATTTTTCATGCTTTTGCAATTCAAGAGTGCTCAAGTACAAGAATACATACAAAAGAAGTCCCAAGGTTTCCCCATAAAATTCACATAAGCAAATAACTAAGCATTCAGAAAAGATAATACACCAACAACACAGTTCCCTCAAGTTACAT